TGTAGAGAAATGTTTTCTCTACAAAACTGCCGTTTTAGAAAAATGTTGCAAATCGTTTTTATGAAAATACAAAACATTTATTGTGAATTTTTGAAAAATACGAAAAAATAACCGATGCACTCCTACCTGCGATAACAAATTCTTCATCACAAGGTTAAGCGGTCTAAACAGACGGAAATTTCTCAGGGTCGATATCCACGACTGTTTCGAAACAAAAACAACTTGATGAGTGATCAGTCGAATTTTTAGTATCAAAATGAATAGTATTACAAGTGTCGTCTGTTTTCATAGTAACCCGTTCACTCATTTTTAAGGTGCATTTCAGTTAAAGTTGCTAATGTATTTTTCAGCTCTTATAATAATCAGAAAGATTTAACTGTTACAAGCAATTTGTGAGTTTTAGGTTGCACCACTGTCTATGGCATATCGTTCATAAAAAAGCTCAAAAAAGTACTAAAACTAGCCATAGGCTTTGTTACTATTGAGTTACAAAGAAATCCAATCATGGATACAATACCAAACAACTAATTCATTTTCATTTCACATTCTTTCCCTTCTTCTTCATAGTAAAACTATAGTTTCTTTGTTTTTATTTAACCATAGTTCAAATAAATTCTATTTTTCTTACAGTATTTGCGTCATGCAGAGATGTATTTTCACGTGCACGTTAATATATGTTTTGAAAATAAAGGAAAAAATAACGCTGGATTGTTCTGCGTAGAAGTATCAACGCTGTATTAGTATGTGTAAAAGATTTTTTTGATTTTTAGCATGGAATTATTTCTCAGCATCAGTACAAAAATGTTTATATTAAAAAGCAAAAATATATTTTATTAGTATACAAAACAAACAGAACTGTTTATGCAAGGTAACTTAATTTAAATCGATATATATTTTTTTTTGTCCTGCTAAAGGAACATCAAAAATGAATAGAAAATAGAAAATCTTGGTATGGAGCAGAACGGGAAATAGAAATAATTGACGTAAAATTATGTTTTTCTTTCATCAATCGAAAAATCAGAGATTTTTTTGTCAACTGTGGCTGAATAAGAAAAAAAGAAAAAAAAAACATGTATTGGTTCTGTATTGCTTGTCTAGTGTCGGGGTGAATGTACTCTTACTTCGCTCTGTTTCATCTACAAAATTATGTAAACTATATTCAAATGAGTGTTGCGTTGACCAAATTTTTGTGAGGCAAAGAGAAAGTATGAGGAACGAAATGTATTCATATCAGACGTATGTTTTTATTGGACTTTACATTGTATTAGGTACGTTGTATCAGTGTGTGTTAGAATTTTTAAAACTTGAAACTATATACAAAAGTATATCTGTTACTACACTGAATTCATTGCGTTAAAGAAAAATGTAAAAATATTTACAGTTTCCATTTGCTTTTTAATCTAAGGTTATTGATGATTTTCTTGTACGAAACAATAAAATTTTTAAAAGTATAAAATTAAATTTCATTTATGATTGTTATATCGTTTAAAGGTTTCGATTTTACTCATTCGCTACAATGCTACAGCTGCAATGGTGATCAGACAACTCCTTGCGGTCAAGGTGGAGCAGATAATCTATCTGGTTCTAGTGTATTCGTGATATCTTACGGTGACACTTCTTTAACAGCTTGCTCCATCACGGTAATTGTTATAAAAAAGCGTATGCGTACATATATTTCGCTTATTCTATGCGTTTTTATATTTTATCTCTTAGTAGTATACAGCAACATCCTCTTCATCATATTCCGTATCAAGAGGCATTAGTACAATTGGTTGTACAAGTGGTCGCTCTTCTAGTACTTATACCTACTGCTGTAATGTGAATTATTGTAACAGTATTAGTTTTCCTGTACCATCAAATAATAAGCCACCAGCATGTGTAGCTTGTGATACTACTGGTAATGGACAAAATACATGTATCTCATCTGGTATTGTAACATATGGCAGTCCAACTTACTCATGTATGGTACGTATAATACAAGACTGCCTCTGGTTCTGAATTTTAAGTGTTCCAAATGGCTAAGATCGAGCATGGACGAATTTTTGCAATAGAAGGATGGTAAAAATTGGATAGAATCTAATAGACTCTTTTAAAATGAAAAACAAATTTTACAACTAATTAGTAAGTCGGAAAACTGCATCTTGTTGTTGCTAGGCATGAACCAATACCAATCATTATTGAAGATATTGTACAATATTATTCGGTAACCAATTATATTACGTCCCGCTAATATCGATCACCTAATACTTTGGAACCAATAATATTGTATATATACATTGATATTGATATATATCCCAACTAGGATATAAAAATGTATCGCGATCGGGATTACGCATTCACTGATTAATAATCGATGTTAGGGCATTCAGCGAACCCACTCCGTATCAGTTATAAAAAAGTACCTAGAGCTGCTGAATGGGCTCATTTTGTAGAAAAATGTTTGATCTACCAAACTGAAGTGCAGGAAGAAATTTAGTGTCATGTGTGATAGAAATATAAACAACCAAAACTCAGCAAAACTGTAAAAAAATAATCGACTATCGATTATTTTTCTGCGATTTTAGTGTGTTTTCGATTTATCATATTTTCTCTATATATAATCTTAAAATTTTTCTAGCACTTCAGTTTGATAGATCAAACATTTTTCTACAAAATGAGCCATTCAGCAGCTCTAAGTGCTTTTTATAACTGATACGGAACGGGTTTGCTGAATGCCCTAACACCGATTATTGATCCGTGAACGCCTGATTTGGTTATATTTTGATTCAAAACGGGATATAGAGCATGCGTCTGTACTGTAAAAGTACGCTGAACTCAAGCGACCCAATACTCAATAATATCGTGAAAACCCAATATATTGGATGACCAATATTATTGGGACTCAATATCTTGTATTGATGCTTGCCTAGTTGTTGCTTTGAGAATAGTGTGGTATCAACTTTTTTGATTGAGATATCAGATACAAAACAAGGATTTAATTAAGACTTCAATGAAGACAAAAAGTTTTCTTTTCATTTTCTTGTTGCTTTTGCACAACGAAGAACATCAAACAATGTTTCAAAATTTTCGCTTCTTAGGTAATCTGAATCCTGCACTAAGCACCATTTTATATGTCGATCTCGTTTCTTTTATCCAGAACACAAGGAAGTTTAGTGCTTTTTCTCCGTTAGATATTTCAAGGCACAGCTAATGGTACTTCATTATTAAGAAAATCTTATTTGCAAGCTTGTGTCACTGGCACCAATGTTTATTATACTTATAATGGTATACCTTATATTGGTAATTTATATTGCTGTAATTCATACCAGTGTAACAGTATCTCGATACCATCCAGTCCCGCACCGACGATTACTTGTCTTACTTGCGATACAAGAATAGAAGGAACAACTGGCTGTGATGGTTTGTTAGATCCAAATTCATTAGGCAAAAACGTTTATCGGACATCATCAGGAGAATCAGGAGATTCTTGTGCCGTATGTATTCAATATATAAAAAAGAGAAAGTCGCGTATAACTACTACTATCATATAATAGTTACTATCTATGTTGTATAGGTCATTGTTGGCTTGAGCACATCTAATACACTAGCATTTACAATTCGAACTTATATAGCCAATTGTGCTGATGCTTATGATACGTTAACTTTTGATGGTACTCTAATTCGAGTTCATTGTTGTCAAACAGATTTATGTAATTATGTTAATGTATCATTTGTTATTGAAAGTACAACGTCGAATGCTACTTACTCACCAGATCAAGGTACTAACATGGATTGATTTGCGAGTGGCGAAATGAAAAAAATCAAAATTTTTCAGTTTTTTTCTTCGATTTTTCAAAAAACAAACCGGGAGCGCAAATAAAAAAAGTAGCTTTAAGGACCACGCTCAGAAATTATCTCCAATACCGTATATCCGATCTTGACGAAACTTTCCATAAATGTTAGGTGCAATGAACCACAAAAATGAAAAAATTTTTTTGTCTCCAAGTCCTACGGTTTAGGAGTTTTCCCGAGATCAATGTTCAAAACGGATCCTGAAGTGTGTTCCAATACTTTTTAACATACTCCAAGTTTGAGAGTTGGGGTTTGTTTTATTTTAAACTAGACACCTGCCTACATGGACTGACCGGCGCCGATTTTTCAATTAAGCCTTTATTGGTTTTCCAGGCAATCAACAACCTTCAAAACTCGAAAAATCCTTTCAGGTTTTCTAAATATCCTTAGTTTGACAAAAAATTAAGATCTAATTCAAAAATCGACGCCGGTCGGCTCATGTAGTTTCTTTTCCCCTTTTAACCAAAAAAAGAATAAACTCTCTTCGACAAACCACTACTAAAAAGCTTGGGACACCTCAGGTATAACTTTCATATAAAGAAAACGCTGTATAAAATGCTCAGTTTTAGGACTTCTAGGCAAATGCCTATAGCTTTTTGATGCAAGCTCATACAGAGTTATATGAGGTCGTTTATTCTACAAATCTGTGTGTTTCGAAAAATTTTAATTGCAGAAGTATCCAGGAAAAACTATTATTTAAAGACCCGATTTTTCTCGGCTCTTAGAAAACTTACTAGAAATCCACGAAAAACCGCTTTTGTAACCAAAAGCGATGCAGATTCTGAAAATCGACACTTCAAGTTATCTTTCCATGTGCGTATCTCAAAACCGATTTTTTGACCGAATCACCATTTCCGAACGGGGAGAGCCCTTAAACATGACTAAATGGACTAATTTTCCGATTAAATTTTATTTCATAAGAGTAGACTTCTTAGAGAAAATAACATTTTATCATCAATGAAGAAGGACTAAGAGTCTACATGACACACATGTTTTGTTCAAGTACACATTAGTTCTCATAATTATATTTTTTCTAGCCGACTCGGGATTAAGTGGTGGAGCTATAGCCGGTATTGTTATTGGTGTAGTTGCTGCTGTTGTAATTGCTGCCATAATTATTGGATGTATTTTGTATTTTTGTTCACATCGACGAACAACAACAGCAGCGCCACGAAAGGAATCGCAAAAGGCAATCTATACTATTCCAAGAAATAATCGTCAGAACCCAGGTGGACGATACGAAGATGATTATCATCAATCCAGTCCAAGAAATTATCGTCAGAACCAAGATGTACAATACGAAGACGATTATCATCAACCCAGTCCAAGAAATTATCGTCAGGACACAGATGTAATTATCGTAGACGATTATCATCCTGTCAGTCCTAGAAATTATTATCAGAACGGAGGTATACAATACGACGACGATTAGTGGTACTAGTAGTAGTAGTAGTAGTGTCAACGACTAAATTTATTTTTTACAAAAACACAAAATTAATTGTAAACTTTGTTCATATTTTTTCATTTTATATGAGAGATAATATATAGTTTATGCTAAATAGTGTGAAGTATTACTGCATTTGTTTCTCTCTATGTGTGGTAACCGCGAACTTTCATCAAAATTATTTATTTGACAGGTGAGTGTATCGAAAATTTTTCTTATGTGTTCAGACGTATATTTAGCGAGCGGCGTAAAAATAATAGATCACTTTTATTCTCTTTTTTTTGGACACCTAACTTAGATTCTAAGACTTCTTTCTAGACTCATTCAATAGAAAATTTTGTGCTCGACGAAGCCCATTGTCTTCTTTCATTGAATAATTCAAAGTGTGAAATTTTGGCGCACAAAATAATTAACATCTTCGGACACATTTAAATTTTGAAAAAAGCAGGAAAACGACTAACTAAACAACGTAGTATAAGTGTGCAATATAAAGAGTTTTGTAGAGCAGAAAATTTTCTATCTTCTGAAGTTAGAACGAAGTCTTTGAACCATATGGAATTATTAAAACTTTTTATTGAAAATAAGATCATTTGTGATTTTAAGTAGTACTTCTAATTAATAGTGTTACCAGCTGATTCTCTTTTTACCTTATCTAACGAGGGAACATATGTAAGTATCAAATCGCTTCCGGGCTGAAAACATGCTAGTTATAGGTTATCAAGGATCCTGAATTCGAATATCGACACGAGAGTTCTCCATGGGGCTTCCAGAGACCGTTCTTCAGAGTCCCAGGTTTCCAAAGGCCGAAAACTTACTCACAGTAAAAAAAATTCTGATCAGACCGGATTGTAGAGCATGCTTCAAAACATCTGGGAAACTAGTTTTTAGATGTTTAGAAAGGTTTGGGAGTGTTATTACAGACATAAAACTGTAAATAAGCATGACTTTTCGTCGTATTCAAGCTGATTGTTCACCCTCTACTATTAACTTAACTAATTACTGTCATCACTTAATTTTTCTCTCGACTTCTCCTAGTCGTAAGCCTGGGTCCTTTAGTTTAGTGAAACAAGAAACTCTCTCAGTATCCTAAATTGAAACAAGATAAAATACATATACAAGAAAAACAAGAAGTAAGGAGACCACTAACTGGTCCGTCGACTTAGGGAACGTTTCAAAATGTATTCCGGTCGGTCGGTCGCTATTCCTCTATTCCGCTGTTCCCCTATTCCTCAATTCCGTCTGCTATTCCTCTATTCCCCGACTATTCCTCTCTTATTCCTCTGTCATTTCTCTATTCCACTCTTCCTCTATTCCCCAATTATTTCTCTATTATAGAATTTAAATTCTAATTTATTTTATTTTATTTTGTATAGTTCGGTTTCTTTGATTGTATTGTTGATACATATATCGGCATAT